TTTTCGGAGGGGTTTTTACCACTGAGAATGGGCGGGGGTTGAGTTCACGGAGGGTAAACTAGATGCTTTCCTAATTTGCTGGTGTGCGGGGCTTTCATGTTGAGTTCTCAAAGTAGAAGCCATTTTCCGGTGCAGTCTTTTATTTGGTGGGCGTCTAGGGGTGGGGGCGAATAAGCATCCAGGTCTACATTTGTTAATGGAGGTATAATTTGGCTACTGCCTGTGGTGACTGCAGGAGTGGTGTTAAGTGATTCGCGAACGGGTGAAGTTGGAATTGCCGGGTTTCTGGGTGTGGGTTTTTGAGTGCACTTCGCAACACCTCTCTTTGTAGAGGCGTTTTGTCGGGGGCCACCCGAACGTTTTTGAATTGAGTGTTGACTGCAATCGTGGCCTGACTTCGGATGAACTCTTATGTATAGGATGGATCTTGTAAGCTGAATAGCAACGGGCATGTCGTTCTCTGGGACCGCTTACGCAGTCGAATGCATCGGCATTGCACCGAGAGCATGTTACAAGCCGACAGGATGGTAGATTTTACCGGATCCAGCGGGAGTCTATCCGGTACATTGAATACTATGGCATTTCGTGCATTTTTAATGCGACGTGTGACCTCTGTGGAAATTGAATCGATGAAGTTTCCTACCTGTAGCAAACTTTCTTCATTGTTAGGGATTGAGGGGTCAAAGAACTGGTAGTGAGGGGTAAGTGAAGCTACTAGTTTGTCGAAAGAAGTCATTTTTGAAGATAGGCACTCCAGGTCACTTTCAATCTTTCTGCACTTCTCACTTGTTTCCACGAATATGTCAGACATAGATACAGAGCAAGGAACAGGAAGAGATGGTCTAGCTTTTGGAAGCCGGGTACGGCGAGTTTTAGATGGCAAACTAATTGTTACTGGCATCTTACTATATCCTATATTCAAAAATAAGCTATTTGTCCTTATTTAGATAATAATAGCTAATTTGCGATAACAAGCAAGAACTCACGTTGGCATAGCGCAATGCAGCGCAATGTACACCAATGTACATTTTTTATTACACACACGTTTTTGCCGGTAAAGTAGACGTTTCTTCACTCATCTGTCTTCTGCTGAGTGCTGTGGAATCGGAAGCGTCGATTGCTCAAACTGTGGTGTTTCCTTGTTGCAGCCAGTCGCGTGCTACAAGTTTGGCACCCACGGCGGGACACGAAAACAACTGCACACCCCACACAAAGATGTCAGAATTTTCCAGTCCAGCAAAAGAATTCCCCCGGCTTTTCGGTCCGTTCGCAGCAGTAGAGGCAAAGCTGGAGACCGCGTCACCGTACAAAAGAATCCCACCGCTCATGGCTCCGGAAAAATTCGTATCTGGAAAAGACTCGAAGTCTCAGGCCTCAGATACGACGTTATGTTCGCAAGCTGCCGCCATCATACCGGGCAGATGCGGTGATTAACCTTCTAACGAGGGAGGCCTACAAGTTAGTACTGGGCTTCGATCTCCCGGACGATGTGGATACTCTTCTGCTGACCCTGAGGCGGAAACTGGCCGGACCAAAAACAGCATTAGAATACCGGGAGGAGTTTTATATGCGACAGCAGCGACCAGAGGAAAGTTTGATGGACTACATGGGGTCCGTACGGCGCCTTGCTCGATTGGCATATCCCATGTATACAGTCAAGGATGCACACGTTCTGGATCGATTTCTTGCTGGGCTCCGAGAACCCAGAGCCAAAGACGAGTTACAACTACGGCCATCAAAAGACCTTGCCGCCGCAGAATCCATTGCCGAGATCCTAGACCGGAACGGACACTGTGAAAGACGATCGCAAGGAGCTTTCGCTGCAGGCTTCAGAGGAGAATGGAGAGCGCCACCCGGAGAAAATGGGGAGAGGAAACATCCAATGTCGCCCGCTTGCTACACCTGTCGCCAACTCGGACACACCTCGCGATTTTGCCGAGATCAAGGAGGACCGAGTAAGTCCATATTGAACGTTGCTAATGCCAATAATTTTACTAATATGAATATGGACGTGAGATTACCGTTTGTGGAGGTAAAGGTGGAGAAAAAAGCAGTTAATTGTTTGTTAGATTCCGGATCGGTACGCAGTTTAATAGGTAACAAATAGGCTGTTTGGAAATCCAAAACCAACCACTCGAAAGAGACCTCCTTGGTCACAGTAAATGGGTCACCACTAACTGTACGCGGGCTTGTGGAGTTGAAGTTACGGGTAGGTAAGCAGAAAGTTACCCATCAATTCACGGTTGTCGAGGACCTCCCAGTTTTCATCGTGTTGGGGGCCGAATTCCTACAAAGGACGAAGGGTATTATTAATCTTGGTTCACATCGGGTGTCAATAGGTGGTTTCTGGTTGAATTTTAAGATGGAACGAAAAGATATGCTTTCGCACACAAACGTGCAAAGAGAGTCCCCAAAGGCCACAGAATTCGAAAACCTGATAGCATCCGTCTCTGAAGGAGTTCCCGGGGAGACCCAAACTCATTTTCGGAAACTAGTGCAAGAGTACCACTCGGTCTTCGCATGGGAAGGAGGACCAATCGGTAGGACAAAGTTGGTTCACCACGACATAGACACGGGAGACACAAGACCGATCCGGTAGGCCCCGCGACGCGTACCCATCCACCGACAAACGGAACTGAGCAGCCTAATTGAAGAGATGCTCCAGCAAAACATCAATAGATTATCTAAATCTCCTTGGGTCTCTGCAGTAGTCCTGGTTAAGAAGAAGGACGGGTCATTACGCATGTGCGTCGACTATCGGAAATTGAACACAATCACACGTAAGGACTTGTCTCCACTTCCTCGTATTGATGTTACGCTGGATGCACTTTCGGGTTCTAAATGGTTCTCTACTTTGGATCTTGCATCGTGGTATTGGCAGGNGGTGAACCCCAGAGATAGAAAACAGACGGCGTTTGCAATCCCTACTGGTCTATATGAGTTTAATACTATGCCTTTCGGATTAACAAACGCACCCGCGACGTTCCAAAGGCTGATGCAGATAGTCCTGACCGGTCTATCACCAGACAAATGTGCATTTTATTTGGACGATATAATTATTACTGGCAGCTCGATAGAAAAACATCTACGACATTTACGGGACGTCTTTGGGAGCCTACGCAACGCAGGGTAAAGACTAAACCCCAAGAAATGCGCATTTCTGAAACAGGAAGTGAAATAACTAGGACACGTCATCTCGCCACAAGGAGTACATAGCGACCCCGGCAAGGTCGAACATGTGCAGCAGTGGCCAACGCCAACAAACTTCGAGGAGGTGAGGAGTTTTCTCGGGCTGGCAGCATACTACCGAAGATTTGTCCCTCAGTTCTCTACGATTAGTGCCCCCATGACCGAACTAATGAAGAAGGGGCAGAGGTTCCTTTGGAGTGACGACTGCTCTGAGGCGTTTGCTCGACTAAAGGAATATTTATGTTCAGCACCAATCCTTGCGCTTCCAGATACTAGTTTGGCGGCAGGCCAATTCGTGCTAGATACAGACGCCAGTGACGTTGGTATTGGAGCAGTCTTGTCACAAATATCGCCAGATATAACCGAAAGAGTTATCGGTTACGGCAGTTGAACGCTAAACAAGAGCGAGCGCAATTACTGTACCACGCGTAGGGAGATGCTGGTGGTTGTTCATTTTGTACGGCACTTTCGTCACCCTTTGTTGGGGCGAAAGTTCCTGGTTAGGAACGACCACTCGTCACTGCAATGGTTGCAAACTTTTAAAGACCCAGAAGGCCAAGTAGCAAAATGGCGGGAAACCTTGCAGGAGTATCAATTCGATTGTCAACACTGGCCGGGAGCGAAACACAAGAACGCGGATGCGTTATCGAGGCGACCGTCGCGATCTCATGGTGACTGCCCAACTTGCCGGCCCGACGTAGTCCTGGCAGTTTTTTACAAGACTTGGGTGAACTTTGGGAAGCCGTCCAGAAAGCAGACCCGGAGTTAATTGTATTATAAAAACATCTCGAGACCGGAATAGGGCGACCTCATCCAGAGCAGATGGTGGTGAGCAGCTGGGAAGCTCGTTGCCTGTGGTCCCTATGGGATAAGATTGTATTCGACGAAGGAATGATGTATCTGGAGCTCGGGCCTACAAACAGCCGTACCGTAGTGGTACCAGAAACTAAAGTGTTCCATTTACTACAATACCACGCAGTGCTGGCACACGTAGGACAAACTAAGCTGTGACAGGCCGCGAGACATCAATATTGGTAGCCCCACCAACGGCGTGATGTTCGGAACGTCTGTTCTTCCTGTGAGCTGTGCGCTCAATATAAAGGCCCTAGGCAGCAGAATCGGGCACCGTCGCAGACCCTTCTGACGGGATAACCCAACGAGATTGTGGCGGTAGATGCAATTGGTCCGCTACCAGAAACGCCCAGTGGAAAT